CCAATTTTCTATATGAATTTATTTTTTCTTTTGCTGAATACAGTACCCAACACCCACAATTTAAAGGACAGGTTTAACTTGGCTCATGGTCTGGGGGATTTAGTCCATGGTTGGCTGATTCCAAGACAGATAAGGTTTTGCAGAAGAGTGTGGCAGAGCACAGCTATTGACTCGTGGCAAACGGGAAGCAGAGTAGGGGACAGTGCCAGAGAGACAGGACGGGGACCAGACATAGACTTCCAAGGCCATACCTATACGGCCTACTGCAACAGATTTGGAAGTGCACCCAGGCAATGCCAGCAGAAATCCCAAAACCAGTCCAAGTTAACTCTTCGATAAGAGTGTTTTAGTCCATCAAATAGAACTATTGCTATTGAAAAAAACTACTTTTTCAAAAAGAGGTTAATACTCATGTTTTGGTAGTAACAACTTCTGAATCTAGAATGAATAGTATTACTTTCCTTCTTAGGTAATAATGGTGTGATTTTTTTTTCAGCATGCAGTCATGTGTTAGATATTTTGATAGTAAGCCCTGCAGAGAAAAAAAAAAATTAAGGTAGTACATATGTTTTCACAGTCTGAATAGGAAGTCGTGTATATATAAGAAAATAAATTTCAGTGCAGAATGGTAGCTATTGAAATAGTTTTATATGAAGTCAGCTCACGTGGAAAAGGCAAGGAAAGATAATCTTTGACTTAGGTGTAGAAGGATAGCTATGATTAACCAAGAATGGTGTTCAGCAGATAAGACAGTGAGAATAGAAGTGAGCGGGGGGCTGAGTACAGTAGAAAAGCAGTATTAAGGGAAGAGTCATCAGAGAGGAGAGTGAGAAGAGATAACTAGGATGATAGGCAAAGAGGGGAAGAGATGGGTACTGTCCCCAGCAAGGGAGGCCTGCAGTGCAAATGCAGGCCCTGTGGAGTGCTTCCAGCTGGGGGCAGGGAGATGTTCACCAGTGCGAGGCCATATATCTAATTAAAATGGCCATGTGGGTTTGCTGAGGGTGTAGAAATGTCACAACAAATCAAGTGGCTCAAAGCAATAGAACCTCGCTCTCCCGCAGCTCTGGAGGCTCACGTTAACCCTGCCAGCTGCAGGCAAGGCTGTGCCCCAGGGAGCAAGCCTTTCTTGCCTCTTCCATCCCCTGACAGCTCCTGGCTTTTCTTGAGGCACCATCACTCAGCCTCTGCTTCCATTTCATGGGTACTTTTCCTCTTTGTGTCTCTCTTTTATGGATACTAGTCATTGATGATGGGCCCACTGTAAGTGCATTGTGGTATTATATCAGGATTCACGTGAGGGCCAGGCATGGTGCTGTGCACCTGTTGCAGTCCCAGCACTCAGGAGGCTGAAGCAGGAGGGTCATTATGGGTTCAAGGCCAGCCTGTGCTTCATAGGAGTGCCAAGGCCAGTCTGAACTACATAGTGAGACCCTGTTAAGCGGCATGACTCGTGTGGACCACACCTGCAGTGTTTTCTGTCAGTACAGGCAGCGGCATGACTCGTGTGGACCACACCTGCAGTGTTTTCTGTC